ATGGCCAATTTATCAGTTTCTGATCAGGATTTTCAGCAAACTGGCCCAGTTTTGGAGGGAAAATGATCGTGTGGAAACGATTTTTCTTCAAAACGGAAACTGCGCGCGGAAAAGTCCGGCCAATCGTCAGTTTCAGGTTCGCATGGAAGTGGCCTTAGTTCAGTCTTTAATGACAGTGCAGAAGCGAACTTGATGATTGACACCCGGGATATAATCTGGAACACCCGGCAGAACAAGATAGTGCCGTCATACGAGTACAGACGGGCAGACGACAAAAGGATGAGTTAGCAAATGAAAGCTACCGTGCTATTGCACATGCATGCAATCGTTTGTGTCCGTAAGTGAACGGGATTGGCCTTCGCGGAAGCCTGTCAATGAAACGACGGAGACAACACTCTTTTTCAGAATACGATTTGATCTACATCACTATCTTTAATATCTACTACTTTGTAAGTCAACACTCTTGTAATAATGTAACAATTACATTTACTTGGTTAATCAGACCCAGCAATAACTGTCAAAAGTTATCCGATGAACGAAACAAAAATGAAAAGTATTGAAATGTATTGAAATGTATTGGAATGTATTGAAATGCAATGCCATCAAACGTTATGAACGTAGTAAGGAACATAATCGTAAATGCAAAATGACATCAAATGTTATGAACATTATGATGAATGTGCTGAGCAACACCAACGAAAACTGCCACGAACGGTGCTGAGCAACACCAACAAAAACTGTCACAAATGGTGCTGAGCAACACCAACAAAAACTGTCACGAATGGTGCTGAACAACACCAACGAAAACTGTTACGAATCATGCTGAACAACACCAACAAAAACTGTTACGAATGAAAGAAATGTGAACTAACAATGTGATGTATGATATTGATACAGGCAACATGGCCGCCGTTCCTCCTTTCTTCACTGTACATGACGACATGGTTATCTGTGGCATTGACGATGTGACCCTTTTCCAAGGACGCACACAAGCCGAGAGAATTGCTTATGAAATATTCACCACAACGATGGATAGCACCATCGACAAACTAAACGAGGAGTTCAAAACCCTTGCAGGATTGACGATCGCGCAAGGACAGATACGCTTGATGCCAGCTATCAAAAAGAACATCCGCGCATTCATCCAATGGTGCACAGATGAGATCCGCATGGGACGAGACCCTGTCACAGCGCCATTTCCTGTCGTTGATGCAGCCAAAGTGCACAGATACATGAAAACACACGAGCAATACGTGTATGGCTCCAAGTTGATGTTGCAGCAAGCGCTACCACAAGACTTCACCAACGATGTCCAATGGGAAGATTGGTGCCCAAAATTCAAAAATTACCTTCGCACCATACCAGTAGGAGACGGTGTGCCACTAAGTTACATTGTGAGAATGAACGATGCAGGAATACTGACCCTGCACAAAGATTGCTTGGAAATATACATCAACATGACACCACACATTGGCAAAGCATACGTCATGGACAACGCCAAAGTACTAGTCCTTCTAAGCAAGTTTACCGAGGCTGAGGCGACCCTCCAAGCCATCAACATTGCAGGCAATGGAAGAGAAGCATTCAAAGCACTACGTACCCACTATGATGGCAAAGGGATACTAGCCAGCAATATCGTCGAAGCTGAACACACCATCAAAGAACTGTGTTACGTCGGTGAAAAACCCAAAATGAACTGGTCCATGTTTGAACAAATGCTGAAGAAAGCATGTGCAGCATGCGACAAACATGAGGGGAGAGAAGTCCATTCAGATGCAATGAAACTACATAGCCTAGAAAGCAAGGTTACAGCACCATTTCTACAACTGAACAAGACGGCAATTGATACAGAAATTGGCAGAAGACCAATGTTAATGACTTTCACGACAGCATTACAAATCTACGGAACTGCAGTGAGAGAAACGTTTCCCCAAGGAACCAGCAATGCAACCGATAGGGGACGATACTTGAGCGAAACTAGAGCTGACAACAATCGCGACAGAAGCAGGAGCCGAAACGATGGAGGAGGCAACAAACGTCGCAATGGAGAGAAGATCTGGTACCATCCTAGCTACCATTTCTCTCCGACACACCTACAAGCGTTTGCCAATAAACAACGTGAACGCATCACAAAGGAAAGAGCCGCATACCGAGAAAGTCAAGGATTGCCAGCAACAAGAACAACAAGACAGGCCGCACAAACACAACAAGTGGAAATGCAACTGGCGGAATTGCGAGCCGAGGTAGCATCGATGAAATCAAACAACGTTCCTGCTACAATCCCAGCCGAAGCAGCCACGCAGATATCACACGTGACTATGGGAACGGCTGGAAGTACAGCAATGGGCGGACGCAACCAACAGGCAAGCGGGAGGACCTGAGACACAATAAGTGAGATCAGACGAATAGTGAGGGTGATCTCATCCAACACAGCCGCATCCCAGCGACCAGTGCAACAACTGTTGGGATATGACGAAATATGAGTTTTTACGTTCCAAAAGAAACTATTCAAGTACGAGGTTTTCGACACGTGCGATCGGACTTTGATCGTGTGTGATGTCGGGATTCAACGCAAGTATGCCGGACGCAAGTCTGTCAGACAATCTGTATCCACACAAAAAGGAAAAGATCCTATACAAGTGGAATATTGATGTTGTGTACGATGCAGTAGGGAATAATGCAAGATATCCCAAAGTACTGCATTCAACACAGAATTGTTGTAGAAGTCGAATCGAGTTCTGTAAACAAGGGATTTTCCAAG